ACCATCAACCTGCCTCTTAGACCCCATCCCGAATAGGTTGCTTAAAGATGTTTTACTCTTAGTCAGCACTTCTATACTAGATATGATCAATCTCTCTCTATCAACAGGCTATGTACCATAGTACTTTAAAGTAGCTGTAATTAAACCTCTTCTGAAAAGCCCAACCTTGATCCAGATGTTTTAGCCAACTATAGACCTATATCTAACCTTCCATTTCTCTCTAAGGTCCTGGAGAAAGTAGTTGCTAAACAGCTGTGTGACTTTCTACAGAGCAATAGTTTATTTGAGCATTTTCAGTCAGGATTTAGAGCTCATCATAGCACAGAGACAGCACTGGTGAAAATTACTAATGACCTCCTCAATGCATCAGACAAAGGACTTGTCTCTGTACTGGTTTTATTAGATCTTAGTGCTGCATTTGATACCATTGACCATCAGATCCTATTGCAGAGACTGGAACATTTCATTGGCATTAAAGGAACCATTCTAAGCTGGTTTAAGTCCTATTTATCAGATCGATTTCAGTTTGTACATGTTAATGATGAGTCCTCCATGCATGCCAAAGTTAGTCATGGAGTTTCACAAGGATCTGTCCTTGGACCAATCCTCTTCACTTTATATATGCTTCCTTTAGGCAATATTATAAGGAAATATTCCATAAACTTTCATTGTTATGCAGATGATACTCAGTTATATCTATTGATGTCAGGTTCAGACACCTATAATATATCAGACAAGGAAGAAAGACAAGAGAGTTAGTGCCTTTTTACTCGCGAGGAGAACGGACAGAGATGTACTCAGTTACATACTCCAACCGCTCTGAGGTATCTCTTCCGTTTCCTCTCTTTTTATTATATTCAGGGCGTTCCCTAGTTACATGCATTGTACAGTACTGTTCCAGGAACTATGTACATTAAGCTCAGTCTCCTCTCAGGGCCAGGACTCGGTTCCTGTTATTTTGTTGTTGTTGTCCGCTCCGTGTGTCATTTCCTTCAGTCACACCATCCGCCGTCCTGTTGTTTTTTTATTACACGGAATTTTATAGGCACCTTTTTAGGACTTGTTTCAGATTGCATTGGCGAGAGTAAATATGAGATAACTTATATACATACTGGTTCCAACAATCGATCAAGCCAGATTAAACTCATCAGTTAGCTAAATTTCAAATGTGCCTTCACGATGTTAAAACCTGGATGACCTGTAATTTTCTAATGTTAAATAAAACTGAAGTTATTGTTCTGGGGCCCAAGCACCTCCGTGACACATTACGTAAATGTAAATGTAAATGCTCCGTACTTGTATAGCACCTTTCTAGTCTTTACGACCACTCAAAGCGCTTTTACACTACATCTGCATTCACCAGTCATACACATTCATACACTGAGCCTAAGTGCTCAAACGTTATTGCTCAAAAATGTGCTCAGAAATTATCTAAAGATATAGTTTCCCTTGATGGCATCGCCCTGGCCTCCAGCACCACTGTGAGGAATCTTGGAGTTATCTTTGATCAGGACATGTCGTTTAAGTCTCACATTAAGCAAATTTCAAGGACTGTTTTCACCTACGTAATTTGCGAAAATCAGGAACATCCTGTCTAAAAATGATGCAGAAAAACTAGTCCATGCATTTGTTACTTCTAGGCTGGATTACTGCAATTCCTTATTATCAGGCTGCTCGAAAAAGTCCATTAAGACTCTTCAGCTGATCCAGAATGCTGCAGCACGTGTTCTGACAGGAACCAGGAAAAGAGATCACATTTCTCCTGTCTTAGCTTCTCTGCATTGGCTTCCAGTAAAATCCAGAATAGAATTTAAAATCATTCTTCTTACCTACAAAGCTCTTAATGGTCAGACACCATCTTATCTTAAAGAGCTCATAGTACCTTACTACCCCACCAGATCACTTCACTCCCAGAATGCAGGGTTACTTGTGGTTCCTAGAGTCTCCAAAAGTAGACTAGGAGCCAGAGCGTTCAGCTATCAAGCTCCTCTCCTGTGGAACCAGGTTCCAGTTTGGGTTCAGGAGGCTGACACCATCTCCACATTTAAGAGTAGGCTTAAGACTTTCCTCTTTGATAAAGCTTATAGTTAGGGCTGGCCTAGACTGCTGGGGGATTTCCTATGATGCACTGAGCTCCTCTCTCCTCTACTTTCTCTCCCTCTGTATGCAACCTTATCCCATTATTGCATGTTACTAACACAACTTCTCCCCTTTCCGGTAGTCTTGTGCTTTCTCGTCCCTCTCCTCTCTCCTCCTATCACTTTACTGTCTGTACCTCTCTGTGTGTATATTGTGTAGGCTGCCTCATTCCCCTCTCTCTCCTTCCATTCCGCTCTTTTTCTCTCTGTTCCTCTCCTGCCCTCTCTCTCTCTCTCTCTCTCTCCCTCTCTCCCTCTCTCCCTCTCTCTCCTTCACCCCCAACCGGTCGAGGTAGATGGCCGCCCACCCTGAGCCATGGTTCTGCTTGAGGTTTCTGCCTCTTAAAAGGAAGTTTTTCCTTGCCTCTGTCGCCTAGTGCTTGGTGTTGGTGGGAATTGTTGGGCTTCTGTAAATAACATCATAGAGTATGGTCTGGACCTGCTCTTTTATGAAAAGCGCTGTGAGATAACTGTTGTGTTGATTTGGCGCTATATCAATAAAATTGAATTGAATTGAACTGAATTACCTTGTTGTTGAAATGTGCTTTACAAATAAACTTGCCTTGCCTTGCCTTTGACAAATTAGACAATGACACACTGAGGGTATTAAAGATGCCTTTTGTCAAGTAAAACCAATGTCATTTCCTTTAGCAGCCACAGATTGCTCATAGCAAAACCCCCATCTTAGGCACATGCACATGCAAGCTTGACTATATGCTCTCTTACGTAGGGAACACAAACATACCTTCCACCCAGATGCTTAATGTTTTCATAAAAGATACACACAGTTGAAACATTATTCATCTCTTAATGATCAAGAGCAAGAGGTGGTCATTCCCCCCTATGAGAAGTTCAAGATAACTAATAAAAAGAAGGGCCAAGATTTTTAGCTTCTAAAATCCTAGCTGATTCCCATTTATCTAAGCATCTTCCTGAGGGGGCTGACTATGGCAGGCTTGAGTTTTTATACTTCCAGTATGTTTTACAACATGTGCAACAACTCTGTACAATTTCTAGAAGTTTGTTGTGCCAATATCTGCACTTCAATGTGCAAGAAACATTGTTGTGTGGAAATATTTCTTATGAAATCAATAAATGTTTCATACAGCAAAATATGGATTTGTTTTCTTGAATAGTAGTGATTAATCTATAAACAAAGAGGTGAGTATCATGTCTTAAAGATCTACCTGTAAAATTCCAGACGAAAAAAGACAGTTGTAGACAGCACTGTATACAAATAGACTAGAAATTCAACGCAACAATACTGAGAATCTATACTTGGGCTAACACATACTTTCCTCCTCCCTCCATTTCTTCCCTAAATTAAGAGTAGTATGTTGACACTAAATATTACTTTTGTTATAAACATCAAAGTCTTTTTTGAAATACAAAACCATAACAATGTGTACATGCACAACACTTTTCAACTCATGACATTATGCAATACGAATCAGAAGTGTATTTTGGTTTGAGATCTTAACAAAGGAATGTTTTGCTGACTAGATGATAAAATGGGGGCCCTACAGAGTCCTTGTCAGTCCAGCTTATTCATCTAGTCATTCCTCATCTCTACCACGCATATAATGTTGGCTACTCTCAAAGCATGAAAAATGTGTGAGGGAAAAAAAGTGTGTGTGTTTCACGTTTTTATATCTCGGTGGGGACTTTAACCTGAATGCACACAAACCCATTGGCTCCCCAAGGGTACCTTTTGAGGGTTAAGACCTGTTTTTAGGGTTCAGGTTAAGCTTAAGGTTAAGCTTAGGTATGTAGTTATGGTGGTTTAGGTTAGGGTAAGGGGCTAGGGAGTCCATGATGTGATATCCCCACAAGGATAGTGGAACAAACGTATGTGTGAGAGTGTGTGTGTTGGGGTTTGTGTGTGTCTATATGCAGACAGTTCAAGCAAACTGTTTTGTCAAGTGGTGGCTTCTCATGTGAAACTAGGTTGTTTTTACGAGAAGAATGACAGCTCTGCAGCAGCTTCAGAGAAATCACACATTCCCACCCATAGAGTGATTCACCAACCACTGTTTCATCAACAAGAGCTCATTGTGAGGAATGGTTCACATTTTTATTGTTGGTTAATAAATTAATTAATTAATTAGTTCACAAAATGCCACTTTTACTGGAAATGCTAATACCCGCACCTTGGGACTGAGGAGAAGATCACATTTAGTCACAGCTGCAACTTGTTAAAAAGTGTGAAAATGTGTTGCTGATCTAACTACACCACATACTGCTGACTGTCTTAAATTCTTAGTAGTGCAACATAGTTGCATAATCAGCTTTTGTAAAACCTCTTATAATATCTATAGCCAGTGGGGTAACATTTCTTGCTTAAGCTAAGTAAAGTGCAATGGCAGTACTTAATATGGCAGTAAAATATACTTAGCTGTAACAGTACTTAGTTACTTCTCATCTTTAGCAATCCAATTAAAACAGGTATAACAATGATTATACCATGAAACATAAATTACGTTTTTTGCACACTATGACTTTCCTACTAATTTTAGGGGTTCATAAATTTTCAATTAAGAAATGAAACTTCAGGAGAGTTGAAAAAAACATGACATGGTGAAATTCCACCAACAAGAATTTAAGAAATTTCACTCGCAGCAATTATCTGATATTGAACCTTTGCAGTTTATTCTCTCAGTCAGCTTCAAAGAAAGTGAATCCACAAATACACAACATGGCTTTAAAGAAGAATTTCTGAAGAAGTTATAAGATTAGGTTGCTGACATGTTCATTACTGTCTTTTGTGACTGCAAAGGGGGCTACAGAAGGAAGAACATCCTCAGTGTGGTTAGAGTGAAAGAGAGAGAGAGAGAGACAGAGAGACAGAGAGACAGAGAGACTGCGAATGTGTGAAGCAGTGTGGTTTAAGATACTTCCCGTAGCTATCTTCACATAGATGAGTCCTACACTTTTGACAATGATTAATTGTTGAAAAGATTTTTTATGTTACATGCATACACACACTCATTACCAAGAACACTCATGTTTTGAAACTGCAATCCACCTTAAAAACCTTGAGTCCTGAACACATGCTGAGGGATCTGAGGGATTCACTTATTGCGAAACAACTTCTTATCCTCAAGACTGGTGAGTTGAGCTTTCAAATTCACTTTTGATACAAAACCTCTTGGTATTTACCATGCCAGTGTTTTATTTATCTGTGTTCCTAATACACCGTGTTTATTTTTGTTGACTTGTTTTGTGCATATTTTGTGCATTTCAGGGATGAAGGGAAACATGATGGTCTTTGCTCCACTGTGTTTGCTCCTTTGCTGGATGCTGCCTGTAGACTCCATGACGGTGAGCAGAGCATGTAAAAAATCAGTGGACACTCCCAATATGTCACAAATATTGAAAAACCTGCTCAACATACTTTTGGGGGGAAAACACCACATCAAAAACAGTTTTGGAACACATTCTCTTAATTTAGAGATCAGGCGCATAAGCATAAATGAAATTAAAGTGGTTAATCTGTTGTGATAGCTCCTCTATACCTTTTGTTCTAGTGTTAATTGCAGTGACATTGTTAGCAACAAGTGTTAGCTTAAATATTTTAAGCTGCAGTATTTCTTGGGTACATGACAACTGCAATGAAATACCTGCTCTCAAGGCCAGGTTTTTACACTCACAATAATAAAGTACAGTGTCTGTTTAATGACCTTTCACATCATCTTTTATTTGTTTACCTTTTAGATCCGTTACAACTTAATACTACAAGATGTCAGCCAGGACATGCCATGGAGCAAGTCCACTCCGTTGAGCATGGTTGAAGATTCAGTTGATGACATGTACTTTGGCTGCAATGAAGAAGCTGCACAAAAAGTCAAGAAGGCATACTTTGAGAAAGAAAGGAACATGGCACCATTTGGAGAAGCCTGGAAGAAGGAAAAAAATTGCAGCGAAGAGAACCTAAAAAAGAGAGAGAAAGAGGATAAGGCTCTAACCAAAGATCACATGCAAGCAATCTGTGTTTACACACGTGTACAAGGAGTGTACAAGGAGTTTAATGTTGCAGTCCGGACACAAAGGAGCAAATATAATAGCTCCTCATTCCAATTCCACTCTTTACATTTCCTGCTGACATCTGCCATACAGATCTTGAACAGAAATTTCCACTGTCACACTACTTACAGAAGAACCAGAGATAAGTTCTCTGGCAAAGTCAACCAAATAATTCGGTTTGGGTCCTTTACCTCCAGCTCTTACAGAACAGACTTAAAACAGTTCGGTTACATTACCTGCTTTAAAATTAAGACATGTTTAGGTGCTTTTTTGAAAAACTATTCATCTATTCCTGAAGAGAAAGAAGTGCTCATCCCCCCCTATGAGATGTTCAAGATAACTAAGACAATTAAAGGTAAGAGTAAAATTCAAGGTCTGGATGACTGTAAAATTGTCTATGTAGTGGAAAGTGCAGGATGTAAGAGCAATCTGAACTGCAAGGCTGCGTACCCATGAGGATCCAGTGGTTTTTGTCCAACTGGTGGGGAAAGCCAATCCGTCATCTTTAAATTTTCTAATTCTCTTGTCAAAACTGAATTAATTAAATGACATTCTCTTCAATCTATAATTTGCTCAGGTTTGTTTGATCATTGCTCATGTTTTATGCAGTCCTCCAGGAACATATTATTAATTACTGTGAACAATGTAGTGAACAACAGTGTGGATTTGTGCATTTTATATTAAATAAATTTGAACTACTCAAAACTATTCCCCTGTCCCTGAGAGAAGGAGGAGGGGTTGAGATCAGCTTTCAACAGACGGCTGAAGAGACTCCAACAAAAGAAAGGGGGTGGAAAGGTTGTTTTCCCTAAGTGCTATTCCTGGGCAGTTGATCGTAAAACTGGCACCTTTGATTCCACAGCCTGATAACTCGGTGCCTGACTGTTAAACTGAAAAAAGGGACCTTAACCAGTAATTAGCATTTGCCTGAACAGCCTATCAGAATTCCCCTTAAAGGGGGGGCAGGAAACCCTAAACTGCCCCCCCACATACATGTAACCGTGGCAACTGACCTTGCTCTGTGTTTCATTACCTCATCAAAGGGATACTCCGTCACGCCTAGTGTGACAAAATCCAGGACACCAGGGGCAGCCCTGAATTTATGTAAACAAAGACTGCAGTCTCCAAAGACTCAAAGCATTAACTGTTTAATTAAATAATAATAAGGAAGCGTTCAAAAAACAAATTTGAACCTGAAAGTGAGCATAATATGACCTTAAAGCATTCGCTGTGATGGATTACAAATGTGTAATTTCTGCTCTTAGACGTTGTCTTTAAATGGGTAAAACTCACAAAACCTCCATTATGATACTTTAAGTCTATCAAGAATGAGTTTGTTTAAAACAAACACGTCATTGCCAAATTGAGCATCTCAGTGTGAATGGTTGAAGATGCTGTTGAGGACATCCTTAATTGGCTGCAATTAAACTGATTGAGTCTAGTGCAAACATAAACAGGAAGACACATGTTAGGAAACATTTTCAAATGTCTGGAACAAGGCAGAATATTGTAAAAAAAAATTAAATAAACAAAAACAGAGAAAGAATGAGATAAATAATTGTACACATTTTCAAATTATTATTATTTTGATTGCTTGATATTTTAGTAATTGTTTTGTTTTTACAGTTTATACTGATTTATTATTATTATTATTATTATTATTTAATCAATTAATTAATTTATTTTTATTTTTATATATTTCTTTTTGACACATGCTTACTGTTTTATTTATTTATTTTATTTTTTATATATTTTAATTTTTTAACACACACACACACACTTACTGTTTTATTTATTTATTTTAAATTTTTTTTTTTCAACACACACACGTGCTTACTGTTTTATTTTAATACGCTTTAATTACTTGTTTAATGAAATGTATGGGGTTGATTGTTCTTATGTAGTTTGTATGATGCTTTGGCAATATTGTTGTTACACATTCATGCGAATAAAGCTAATTTGAATTGAATTGAATGAGGCTCTCTCAATGAAGATTACATGCAGACATCTAAAATGATGCACTTATGGCACCAGTCTTCTACTTTGATTGGTTCTGTATCTTTGCATCCACCTCTTTCAGAACAGAGTCATCTATATCTTGGGAAGTGCAGGTGCTCACAGTGAACTGCAAAGCTGCTATTTATGAGCGTGTGTGCTTCTTCTTTAACTGGCAAAGGGAACTGAAAACATTTAGCCTTGTTTTGTAAACTAGCAAAAATTTACAATAAATCCCACAACTTACTACATATTTGCATTGTATGCATTTCAAAAGATAAATTAAATAATTTTCTTTGGTTAAATTTTTTAAACTATAGTAATCACGTGCTGTACATCTATCTTAATCACTGCACAGTCACAAGAATTGTTTTTCATGCAAACATTTGTATTTTCATTTTGTAAAATTGTGGATTATATTCATAATAAACCTTGATGCCTTCAGAGCTTTAACAAAAATTCATTTAAAGAAAGATATTTAGTGATGCAGGCAAAGGGCATGATTACTGGACAGTTTGTGCATTTTTCAGTTGTAAACAACATGGGGTATTGGCAAATATATTAGGGGACAATTCCCTTCTTCTCTCACAAAATTAAGTGTTTCACTTGGTCCTCACAGAGCTACTTTTCGGATTCATATGGCCACCTTTAGTTATCATAAGCTTATTTCCCCCCATCACTGCAGTGCTATATGTAACCCATGTGGAGTTCACATAATAATAAAACATCAAGTAAAGTATTTTGCTATTAGCTAAGGGCCCGTTTTTTGCCAGCTGAAAACGCCAGCTGCTCTTCTGAAAATGCCCGGCAGGAAGCGCTAGCTGGCGTTTTTGAGGCGCAGCAGTTTTTCTGCCTACTTTGGTTGCTATGATACATTTGTTGCAAGTAGTTCTGCCTAACTTTACTGGATGTAAAAATGTCAACACAGAGTAGAGTACTTGTTCCAGAAAAAAATACTCAGTGCTCCGGGCCCAGCGCAGAGGAGACGCTCTGCGTCTCCTCACACTGCTGCCGTATTTACCAGCTTGTAAAAATGAGGCGCTCCCATTGCAATGAATTAAAAAAAGACGCTGCCGTCAGAAAAAAACGCTTTGGTGGACACAGGCCCTAATGCAATCAGACTTCTTTTTTTACAACATCCAGGAACACTACTGAACCAGCGGCAATGACGATCCTGGCAAACGACCCCACTGAGCTGAGATGTAGCCCATCTGTAGTCTATAATTTAATTCTCGTAAGTGTTTTCACATATTTAGATAGACTATTTTACATGTCCAAAAAATAAGGAGCCAGGGTGAAAAAAGCGAGAAAAAAAAATCCTAGATTAAAGTGTGAAATTTACAAGAAGGACAAATCGGAAATTCCCTGAAATTAATGTCATAAAAAATCACTCCGGTGTTTTCGTCTGAATACACCCAAACCAAGGCAAAGTCTCTAAGGCGCGTGATAGTGATTGTGGGCTAAACTCAGTAGGCTATTTCCTCACTGCTAAATCAGATTGCAAAGTTTAATATAAATTTCCAATGTGTGCATAATACACAGCAGAGGTGTGTGTATGATGTTGCAGCCTTGCACAGTGAAATTTCTCTCATAAATCTGGGACTATAATGTCAGAGAATATTCAAGTTCTTTACTTGTAGATTAATCTTGGAAATTAAATTCGGTCTTGGATTATTACCCCTCTCCGCTGGCTACTTTTTTTCTATTACAATGGACCTTATGTGCAGTTGCACCTCTACATCTTAATCATTTTACACATAAAAGAAGAGCCCAAAAAATACATAATAGAGATCTGAACTACAATCAGAACACTATGAAGATAATTAGGCTACAAATTTACTCAATGCGATGCCAACAAGCCTCCCTGGCTTTGTCATCTGCCACGATATTAGATTTAGCTGTTAACTTGTCTTTACATTCATCTGGAGAAATACAGAGCATGCGCCGTTGTGAAAAAACTCTGCCTGCAAGGCCAAACACACCCGTTTCACAAGCAAGGACCACGCCACAACAATCATGTGTTCTGATTGTACAGATAGATAAATGGATGTAGAGGGGAATGGTGGTGGAGAAAGGATGCTATCTGGGAGGCTGTGTGATGAGGGGGCAGCTGAGACTCAGAGTGGGGTTTCTGTCTCGGTAGAGGTTTCGACCGTGTGATTTATTGACCCCCAAAAAGAGTCGGATTATATTGAGCCGTGTGTGGGCTTGATGGAGATCGTTGAGATTGTTGTGAATGTAAGAACAGTAGGCCTGGGATGACCAACGGCCGAGGACCTTAATGGTTTGTTCAGAGAAGCCTGATCTGGCCGCTGTGGAAGCGGCGCTGATGTGGAATGAATGGCTTGAATAATGTTTGGGTGATATGCCTGAAATGCAGAGGATTCTGTTCAGGTGTTTATGGAACCAGAATCGATTGGCTATTTTTCCTGTTTCGGTGAGGAAAAGTGGGTGTTGTGGTGATGCCTCAGCGGCGTACCTGGAGCGGATGTATTCGGATAGTGACTCGTAGGGGCTGAGGTAGGAGCTGAGGCAGAAGATGTAGATGGGGAAGGAAACTCCTAGCTGATCTGTTTTACAGTGACTGAGGAGGTCTGAAGTGAGGTAAGCGTCTAGCGGCGAGAGTGGGTTCTTGTTTCCTCAAGCCTTTGATTAACATGGCGACGTGGGAATGAGAGGTAGACGGACATGGTAAGCTGGTGACTATTCTGAAGTAGAAATTGATGCCTGCTAAGTAGGTCTGGATTGTAGAGGAGCGGATGTTTTGGATGGAATGCGCGTAGGTGATGAAATTGCAAAAGGACATGATGTCAAGAGAGGGAAATAGCAGCAGATATGTAGAGTGAAATGCCTTAAAGCAATTCCAGCCAGTCAAGTAGGCTGAGAGAGTGCTAGGGGCGAGGCTGTAGATGATGGCTTCTTGTGAGGTGTAAGAGAGGTTTCTCAGCTGAGGAGTTAATTGAACGTTGTGGCTGAAAACGGTGGCACGGGTGTGGGATAAATGTCAGATTCTGGAGCCAAGTGTCTGAATTTCTGGAAAGAGAAATGAGAAAATGAATTGGCGATGCAGTTTTGGTGGCTGGGAATGTGAGGTGCCCTGAGGATGAACTGATGTTGGGCAGATATTAGTGTAAGTCTACGAAGGAACTGTGCGATGACCGGAGAGTGGGATCAACCTTTGTTTAAGATTTCTACTACTGCTGTGTTGTCAGAGTGAATAAGTATGGACCTCCTTGACCATTTGTGCTCCCAAAGAATGGCGGCGATGGCGATGGGATACAGTTCGTGGAGCGCCGATGAAGGAGAGCCGGATTTGGTGTTTAAATATCTGAATTCTGAGGGCCAAGTGGACGCGAACCATCTCCCCTCGTAGTAGCCACCGAAACCTACGGAATGAGCTGCATCGGTGTACAGCTGAATGTCCTCGTGCTGGATGATGAAATCTTTATTGAAGAAGGAAATGCCGTTCCAAGAAGCCAGGAAATGTTGCCACAGGTGCATTTCCATTTTGCATGCCTCGTCCAGTACGACTCTATCGTGGAGAGAAGGGCTGCGGCTGCGGCTTTGATTAAGAGATTGGACAAGAAGGATTTTGCTTGTGGAATTATGCGAATGGCATAATTGAGATGGCCGAGGAGGGCTAGTAGCTGGCGTTTGGTGCATCTGACTGATAGTTTGAGAGGAGCAGAGAGATGCGCTGTATTTTCTCTGCGGGCAGCGATGCCTGGAAGGATGTTGAGTCCAGGGTGATCCCTAAGAAGAAGTGCTAGGCCCTGAGGTTTTCTCTTTGGAGAGATGGATGCCTAGTTTGTGAAAAGCTTTGATGAGAGTATTAAGCCCTGCGCAAGGAGGTGAGGATGGTGGAGTGACAACAAAATTGTCGAGGATGTGGAGTATGTAAGGAAGTCTGTAATTATTGGTCAAGATCCAGCACAGGGCTTCAGACAGAGAGTCAAAGATCTTGGGACTGCTTCTGCAGCCGAAGGCGAGGCGCAAGGAAAAGTAATAGGCTCCTTTCCAGCGAACGCTGAAAAAATGTCAGAAATATGGGTGGATGGGACTTTGAATGCTTTGGAAAGCCAAGCGAGGGTGATGGCATGATCAATGGTTGCATATTGCATGGAGAAATCTGGGCTGAGGATAATGCTGTTGATGCTTGGGATGAGTGAGCCGTGTAGGTCTATTATTAACCTCTTTTTTACAGAATACTTTACCGAGTGGCTACGCCTAAGGGACTGATTTGGAACACTGAAAAAGGAGGCTTGTCAAATGGGCCTATCATGAAACCCTCTTTTACTTCTTTAGCTAGTAAAGAGTCGACTACGTGGGATTCTGTGAGAGCGGATTGGAGGTTGTGGCAGGCGTGCATAGAGTCTGGTAGGACTTCTATACCTGGATGGAAACTGTGTGAGAAGCCATTTATGAGAAAGTTAACGACAGTCTATCTGGGTGATTTTGTAAAGCGGTGGTGAGGCTGTTTACCTTGACTGGTGTGCCAAGGTGCTGTGCTAGTCATTCTGCAGGTGTGGTCGGATTATGCTTCTGGTGTGAGCTCCTCCGCAA